CCACTTGAGCCATGCCACTACTCCTGTGTTTTCAATTCTTTAATATAAATACAAAGTAATGAAATTAATGAGATATAGAGGAACAGTTTGTTAACATTTGAAGACATTACCAAACTGTTTCCCTAAGTATTTGTACTATTTTACATTTTCACTAGCAAGGTATAAATAAGTTACAATTGCTCTGTATCCTTGGTAATATTGAGTGTGGTAAGTCATTTTCATTCTAGTGGAGGTAAAGTCACAACTCCATTCGGTCTTCACTGGGATTTCTCTCATGAATAATAATCCGGGATTCTTTGTCATATGAATATTAATCACATGTATATATTCTTTATGAAATAACTGCTCAAAAGTAGACTTGGTATCTGAGCACTTTCTATAGTTCCTCTGTGATCTTGAAGAAGCAGTTCTACTTAAGATCTCAAATTCCCTCACCACTAATAACCAAGTATTACTATACTTTTTATATTCATATTCTTTGATCTTTTTCATTCAGAAATTCTATGTGAGTAGTATCACTTATTACATTATTTGATCAGATGTAAAACATACTTTATGTACTTTTATCTTCTTTTGTTGAGACTTATATTAGAGATGAAATAATTAAATTCTTTTGTGACAATTCTACTTTGAATACTAACTGAAACATGTAATACATTAGGTAGCGCTTAAATACTTTTGTTATTAAAACGTGCTATTAATACTTGGTAAAACCACACAAAACTGTCATTTTTATACATCAAAATGTTCCATTGTTGATGATATTACATGGTTCAATAAAATTTAACTTTAACTGGTCATATGGTACACCTCTGTAACCCCAGCTACTCGGGGAGGCAGAGACAGAAGTATCATAAATTCGAGGCCAGCTCAGGAAGTTAGTGAGACCCTATCTCAAAAACAAATAAGCTGTGACTGCGGTTCAATCAGATAGACAGATAAGATTAGATAGATAAATAAATGAATGACCAACCAACCAATCAAAAGGGCTGGGAGAGTGGCTCAAGAGGAAACTTAACACCTTTTCTTATATTCTTTTGTAAAACTCATACTAAATTTTCAACTTAAAGTATAATTCTACAAAGATGAATTAACTACTTCCAATCTATTGCATATATTTGTTATTAATTTTACAAGCAGAAATGGAAACTGTTAAACAGTTAAAGTTTAAACACTGGTGATGTTAAAATTTCAGTAGAAAGTAAAATCCATAAAATTACCTTTTTTTTGTGGGTTTTCAATTTTAGAAACAAATTTCATTTGATTTTTATGTGGCAATGTTTAGCTACATTATCTATATTTATCAATCATTAGCAAGGCTGATTAAATGGCTTTAAAAACCAGAATTCTAAAGGCCAGTAATTTTTGTTAATAACTATTAAGGACTAGCAGAAACATGTTTCCAAAATGCCAGTTGATTTCCAAGAAAATAACAGTGTTATTTTAAAGAAATTATTTTAGAGAAAATGAAGCAGGCTTTTCATTTCACTAATTAAAAACAGTATTTACTAGTTAAGCAAAGTATCTACGTACAATCTATTAAATTCTATGAAAATTCCATTTGTATACTTGGTCTTTCCTTATCACCTGAGTTTCTGAAGGAAAAGATTAATGCCTTTTAAAACTCTGCTTCACATAAACCTGCAAGTTTAATTAGAAAGTAGTTTGATAGCATGTATCAGCCTTGAGACAATCATATTCTTGCTTTCATCAAACTCAGTTCTGTGGCCTCAGAATACGTATCCACTGATCATATCTCAGCACTTACAACAGATCTTTCCCACAAATTAACCCTTAAACTGTTTGGAGATCTATTTACACTAGACCAAGCACTTATAGTTCTTTTAATCATCTTCATTCCATAAAGGACTTACCATACCACAGTTAATGTTGTGCTAAGATTTTGGTATCAAACTTAAATTCTGGCACACTTGGCCACTATCCAAGCACTCGCCTCATCCCTGGAGTGTACTCCCTCTGTTTAGGCAGTTACTGTCACTCAACTGTCCATTTCCAGTCTCCAGATTTACTTTTGCTTTGCTAATAAGTCACTCTTTACTATCTTTGGAAAAAAAAATTAAACAGTATATTACAAGTATGACCTCATCTGGGTCAAGTGGGATATTAAAGACAAATGAAAATCATTTTTTTTAATTCATTTCTTGTTGTGGTAGGGACTGAACCCAATGCCTCAACAGCATGTTACACAAGTGGCCTGTCACTGAACTGTACCCCCAGCCCATTATTATCTTTTTTTTTTTTTTTAACAGTACTAGGGATGGAACACAGGGCCTTGCACATGCTAGGGCAAATATTCTATCACTTGAGCCACATCCCCACCCCCAGTAAAATCTTTTTGAGGAAGCAGGTAACACAACACTCTTCACATTATGAAAGAAATATGTGAACAAGACAACTCATGTCTGTCAATAGTAGTTCTACTGCATTGATGAGTTAAAAGCTAACTAAAATGCCGTTTATAAAAAGCATAAGTATGCCCAAATAAGAATCTGAAGAAAACTATTGTCCTCCAAGAAAATATGCATTCTATGCAACTAAAAGCTAATCCTTACAATGTAAGGGATTTCAGATGCCTAAAACACAGCTAGAGTTACACTACTACTATATCTTGAACTGCTTAGTACAGCACAAGTTAGTATGCAATAAATATACTTATAAATTTAAAGAAATAAAGGAATAACAGGAAATCAATCAGGTGTCTGAAATCCGGGTTTTATTAGCCAAACCACTGTCAACAAACCTAATGGTTTCTGAATGGTCCTGTATGCTTCTACACTATTTGGGCAAAGGTCCTTGGCCCATTTGCAGGTTAAGTACAAGATGAATTTATAAAGGTCTTCAAAATGGCTAAAAATAACCAGGTATCAGTTCCCTTAAGAAATCTGTGGTTGTAAAATTAGAGATAAGGGCAAAATAGTTTCTGCCTGGTAGCGAGGGGGGGTAGGGGAGGAGAAGAAGGGGGCGGGATGGTAACGGGAGGGGTGGGAGGAAGGGGGAAGAAATGACCCAAACATTGTATGCACATATAAAAAAAAAAATCTGTGGTTGTTAACATGAGAAAACTGGTCGGGAATTCTACATGAGCACTGGCTTCTTAACAATTGCCACATACACCGTATTATTTTTATTTTAAATAGTTATTTCCATAAGGCAAGAGGATTCTTGTTTGTTTCATTTTTAAAGCCAGAAGACTGGTGAAAAAGTCAAGGGTGAGAAAAAGTGAAAGAAACACCAATGGAATTCTGACCTGTCTGCTGATAAATATTTCTTCAATGAAGAAATGAAGTTTCCAACTTTAGAGTTAGAAACATTCTAAGAAAAGCCAATAGTTAAAAAGGTGGGAAGAGGGCTGGTGGAGTGGCTCAAGTGGTAGAGCACCTGTCTAGCAAGCATGAGGCCCTGAGTTCAAGTCCCAGTACCACCAAAAAAAAAAAAAAGTGGGATAAACAAATGTTTACTAGGCATGTACTATGGTCCTAGCATCACTTAGGGGAACTATTATCTTAACATTTTAAAGCACAGGAAAGTAACTCCTGGAGGTAAGAAGTAATGTGCCTACAGATGGTTAAATGAATGAACCCAGATTCAAACATAACTTTTAACTCAAAAGCTTTACAACATGCATTAGGATATAACCTACCTGAAACAGTGCCACTTTACAATTTATTTTAAGCATGTATGACTAATCAACAGTAAACATGATTATTTTGTCTTAAAACATATAGAAGGGGATATTTTTAACACATCTATACAAGATTAGAATATGGATTAGCACACATGGCAGTAAAACTAGAAAGAGAACCTTGTTAAATGTTTGCATTCACGGGGAAATGATGACTAAATTTGATTTCAGAAGTATTTGTTTATCTCCATTTAGAAAATTAACTACAACACATCATTTAATTATACTAGCTTATAAAACAATAACCATGAATTCATTTTTATTCTTGGAGAACACAAATTGAATTTTTCTGACCTATACATATTATAAGTTAGTAAGTAATCACTAAAAGAATGTTTAAAATAGGGCTGGAGGTATGGCTCGAGTGGTAAAGTGCCTGCCTTGCAAGAATGAAGCCTTGATTTCAAAATCCAGTACGACCAGAGAGAGAAAGCTAAAAATACAAATAGGGCAAAAACAAAGCAAGAAAACGAACCCCAAAACCAGATATGAGTTAATGTGAAGGAGCTTTTTGGAAGCCAGCAGTTAGATATCCATGAATTCTCCCTACTTTAATAGTGCCCCTGATATTTTCAAAATTAATATATATTGTGGGTATTAATAGGCTATTTCAAAATAATAACGTTGCAAAGATAGAAAATTATAGATTCTAGATAAAGGTCCTATGTTACAGACCTTTTTAAAAAGTTGTATTTCAACACTATACATCAAATGTTTCTGGTCAAATATATCTGCCAGCACAAATAAGAAAAAAAAATCTTTCTGAAAGAACTCTGCCCAAAAGCACAATGTTCTTCAGATCCCCAGTAAAGGGCTGGCAGAGTGGCACAAGTGGTAGAGCATCTGCTCAGCAAGTTTGAGACCTGAGTTCAAACCTCAGTATATCCAATAAAAAAATGCACACACAACAAAAATAAAAAATACATTGTGTCAAGAGGAATGGGCTGAATTAAAACAGTTAGAAATAAGTAGGTACTGGCTAGTACAATAGCTAAGTAAGAACCAAACAAACCTTTTCATGTATTTATTTATAAGAATGTGTTCTGTGTATATTACTTATATGTTATTATTCAGAGTATAGGTGTTTGAGGCATAAGGTGTATGTCCTGACATAGAATGAATTATTAAATTTAAATTTATTTGACAAATAGTTAAGTACTACTATGGACACTAGGTTAAGCCCTGGAAATTCAGCAACTCCATAAAGAAGGACCTTCCTTGCTCATAGATTACATTCTGGTAGAGATCAAAATAAGAAACATGTAAATAGATGTAAATGGATTCCAATAAAAGATACCTGACAATGCATTTCCATGAAGAGCCATCTTGATCATCTTGTTCTTCTATGTACATTCTGACATTGTGATCTTGATCCAACTGATACCAATACATGAGGCCATCTTTGTCTCGCCCAATTGGCTGAAGACGCATGGTATCGGCATCTTCCTCATTAATAATAGTCTTGAATTTAAGATTGTCATCAAACTGACACTCACAGAGATACTGAAAAATAGTTACAACATGGCTTAAAATATCCTATAAATATTTCTCCACCACAACAAATGACACAAACACAGAATTTATTCCTTCAGGGACAGAGCAAACAGAACACTCAGTTTACTCATTTTTCACTATACTCTCAACCTCTGAGTTAAAAAAATATGTTAACATTTTAATTTTACACCAATTTAGAGATTTAACACAACCACTGACACACAAATCAAATTCTATTTTCTTTTTTTGCCAGTACTGGGGATTGAATTCAGGGCCTTCTGCTTGCTAGGCAAGCACTCTACCACTTTAACCTACACCACCAGACTGTTTTTTGTTTTTGAGAAAGATCAGGAAAAAATTAGCAAGACCCCATCTCAACCAATGAAAAACAGGGCAAGGTGGTGTATGACTGTCATCCCAGCAACATGGGAAGTATAAATAGGAGGACTGATGTCTAGCCTGGACCAGGAATAAATGCAATACCCTATCTCAAAAACAATCAAGTCAAAAATGCCTGGAGGCATGGCTCAAGTGGTAGACCCAGGCACAAGGCTCTTAGTACCTTTTGCCCAAGCTAGCACTGGACCATGATCCTCCTACCTTCACTTCCCAAGTAGCTGGGATTACAGATATGCACCACACCTGGCAAATCAAATTATATTTCTAAAGTAATGAGTCTATTAGCAGTAAAAACCCTTCAAATTGTATCATGGTAAAAGCTTTACTTAAAATTTTATTTATTTAAAAATTATTAATTTAACTGGCAAATAAAATCATCAATATTTATGGTATCTAACAGAATGCCTTGATATATATATATATATATATAAACCATGTGGAACAGTTAAATCAAGCAGTTAACATATTTATTACCTCATATAATTGTCACTTTTTTGTAGTGAGAACACTTAAAATCTATTTTATTAGCAATTTCAAGTATGTAATACTGTTATCCAACACAATTACTACCTTATACAATATCTCCTGTCCAATTGAACCTTTGTAAATTAAACCCAAAATCTCTTTAATTTCACCACTATCCTGACTGCATCCCACTGTAACCACCATTCTATTACACTGTTGCTACAATTCAAAATGTCAGAACAAGGGTTATTTCTTTTTGTGTCTGGTTTATTTCAGTTAACATGTTCTCAAAATTTATGAATGTGACAAATGACATGATGTCCTTTCTAAAGGCAGAACATTATTACACTGTACATACATTTTTATTTCTTCATCTATAATCAATATTTGTGTTGATTCCATACTGTAATCAGTATGTGGTGAACATGTGAGTTCAGAGAGCTGCTTGACACAGTGATTTTATTTCTGTAGGAAATCTACCAAGTTATGAGACTGTTAAATCATTTAGTAGTTTTGTTTTGAATGTTTAGGATCCTCCATACTTTTTGTTTCTAAGTGGTATTTTACAATATTAAGTTTCCACTACTCTGGAGGCTGAGGCAGGTGAATCTCTTAAGTCTGGTAGTTTGAGACCAATTTGCCAAATAATAGGATTCCATTTCAAAAAACAAATAAGTAAAAATGACAAGGACAAATCTGGGTATACTGCAGATAGAAAACACCATAAGATCTCCTATATGCATGTTGCAGACTTTCATATAGGCTGTTAGCAGCAATTAACATCTAACAGTAAAGTAATAGCTATCCAATAGCATAGCTTATCTCTAATATATATTTATATTCATATATGTACATATGCACACACTGACATTATATTTTAAGAATTATCATAAAATCCTGAGCTCCTTTGAATAAGGAATCTACTTATAAAACATAAATTTTAGTAGTGAAGAGATCATTAATTTTTTTTCAGAAAGCATATTTTCCCCTCTATTATGCTGATCACCTTGTTAGTAATTAGGAAATAAGTAGGGGAAAAAAAGGATAGCTCAAACTTGAAAATAAGCCTACAAAAAAGCCAGTCACAGGGATGGGAGATATGGCTCAAGCAGTAGAGTACACCTGCTTTGCAAGCCCTGAGTTCAAACCCCAGACCCACCAACAACAACAAAAAAAAAACCAACAAAAAAAAAGCCAGACACAGTGGCTCATGCCTATAATCCTAGATACTCAGCAGGTGAAGACCAGGAAAAAATTAGTAAGACCCCATAATGACCAATGAAAAGCTGGGCAAAGTGGTATACGACTGTCAACCCAGCTACGTGGGAAGTGTAAATAGGAGAACTAAGGTCTATCCTGGACCAGAAATAAATGCAACATCCTATCTCAAAAATAATCAAGTCAAAAGGCCTGGAGGCATGGCTCAAGATGCAACATCCTATCTCAAAAATAATCAAGTCAAAAGGCCTGGAGGCATGGCTCAAGTAGTAGAGACAGACACAAGGCCCTGAATTGAAAACCGAGTACCAAAAACAACAAAAAGCCTACACTGAGATGACTCATTTTAATCAAATACTTTTGGTTATGTGAGGGTTTAAAAAATTACATAATGGCATGTCCACAGTCATCTAAAAAACATTATGTACTACTAGTTTAGTAAATCAGTATATTATCCACAGTACAATATATAGCAATTCATGTGAAAGCTGAAAACAATAAAAGTCATTTAAAGTGATTGCTTGCCCACTCATACTATCCCTATAAGAAGAAATAATTAAAACTCATGTTGTGAACACAACTTTAAAAAACAGTAATGTGTGACTATTTTAAAAAGTCACAAATACAGTGACTGTTTTTGTCAGTGAAAAAAATCTATTGCCTTATTCCTCTAACAATTAAAATGTTTACTTTTCATTTCTTTTCTAATTTAACCAGGAGTCAAAAGTGAAAACTTAAATTAAAATCATTGTAACAAATAATACATTTATTACCTTTAAGAGAGCTAGTTTGCATTCAACACTCATTTCAAGATAGCCCTTCTTCTCCATCTCCCATGCCCAGGTGCTGTTAAACTCTTGGCATATCTGTCAGAGAAAATTAACATCTTAATACATGAAAGCAAGTATTATTGACATTTGTTATAGCTTGGATTTGGAATGTCTCCCAAAGGCTCAAGTGTAGAAAGAGTGGTCCTCAGCTGGTGGCACTACTTGGAGGTAGCAGAAAATTTAGAAGGTGAGGCCTGGTTTGAGGAAGTAGGTCACTACGGGTGTGCGTTTAAAGGGAATATTTAAAAAAATAAAATAAAATAAAGGGCATATTTTTTGTTCCTGTCCCCTTCCCCCCTCCCTATGACTTGCACTTACTTACTTTTTCCTCCTCCTCCTCCTTCCTTCCCTCCATCCCCAACTAACACAACATTGGTAGTCTTCTAAGATTTAACCAAGTGTTCTTTTTTTTTTTTTTTGAGGATTTTTTTTTCTTTTATTATTCATATGTGCATACAAGGCTTGGGTCATTTCTCTCCCCCCTGCCCCCACCCCCTCCCTTACCACCCACTCCACCCCCTCCCTCTCCCCCCCACCCCCTCAATACCCAGCAGAAACTATTTTGCCCTTATCTCTAATTTTGTTGTAGAAAGAGTATAAGGAATAATAGGAAGGAACAAGGGTTTTTGCTGGTTGAGATAAGGATAGCTATACAGGGCATTGACTCACATTGATTTCCTGTGCGTGGGTGTTACTAGGTTAATTCTTTTTGATCTAACCTTTTCTCTAGTTCCTGTTCCCCTTTTCCTATTGGCTTCAGTTGCTTTTAAGGTATCTGCTTTAGTTTCTCTGCGTTAAGGGCAACAAATGCTAGCTAATTTTTTTTTTGTCTTACCTATCCTCACCCCTCCCTTGTGTGCTCTCTCCCTTGTGTGTTTGCCCTTGATCTAATGTCCACATACGAGGGAGAACATACGATTTTTGGTCTTTTGGGCCAGGCTAACCTCACTCAGAATGATGTTCTCCAATTCCATCCATTTACCAGCGAATGATAACATTTCGTTCTTCTTCATGGCTGCATAAAATTCCATTGTGTATAGATACCACATTTTCTTAATCCATTCGTCAGTGGTGGGGCATCTTGGCTGTTTCCATAACTTGGCTATTGTGAATAGTGCTGCAATAAACATGGGTGTGCAGGTGCCTCTGGAGTAACCTGTGTCACAGTCTTTTGGGTATATCCCCAAGAGTGGTATTGCTGGATCAAATGGTAGATTGATGTCTAGCTTTTTAAGTAGCCTCCAAATTTTTTTCCAGAGTTAACCAAGTGTTCTTAATGAACATTTATAAAGGGGAGAGTTTACATGAAACAACAGTGCAATCTAATTTCACCCTAAAATGTTTACTACTTAAATCCACCAGAAATGTTTACAAATGGCTGATACCTGAACTTATGGTAAGAAGTAATCTCTGGAACTTTCTACTTTGCTTTCAACAACTTCATACAAACTTTTCGGGCACATTTTTTTCTCACATGAGAGTAATTACTAGATTCTATCTTTCCAAATGACTGAGGTTCCTTGAAGGCAAGGACAATAGTTTGTTCATCTTAAGGCCTAGAACAGAGGTAGGCTCAAAGACCTGCTAAATCCTAGACATATTTTTTAATGAACCTCTCTTCAACTCATTGTCCACCTGTTTATTATGGGTAAAGTAAAATTCCACTGCTGGGCATTTGATAGCTTTGATAACATGCTTTAAGTTGAGTGTTTCAGGATTCTCTTCCTACATAAGCATTTCAGGCAAACCAGAACTAGTATAGCAAACTAAAGAAAGAAAATGTACATAAATGCTCCATTCAGAAGTCAGTGCAAGCTGGTTATGATGGTATACACCAGTAACTTCAGCATTCAGAAACAGAGACACGAGGATCTCAAGCTGGATGCTATCAGCCTTGGCTACATAGTGAGACTATCTGAAAAAAGTCTGTGCAGAAATCTTTTTCCCATTTCTGCAGCTCCTCTCATACTAGAGGTCAGAGAAAGCTAGTAAGAGCGATTAATGTGGAGAAATGCCATGGGTTTATGGCCTCTGTGAGCCAGATTTTTTTTTTAAGCGATAAATGAATAGTAGTAATACTTATTTTAGAAGCTATGAAGTGAGCATGAAAAATGATGCAAAATGTCTACCAATCTCAAGCTTTTTTTACAATTAAAGGAACAAAGAACAAAACGAATAGGTTAAGGGAATATAATGGAGGGGGTTAACTTGTTCAAAGTACACAATGCACATGTATGGAATTATCACAATGAAATCTGCTCATACTATCAATGTATGCAAGTTCAAAAAAAACATAAAAGCAAAAAAATAAGAAAAAAAAAAGAGCAAAATGAAGGCAAAAGAAGAATAATCAACACAAGGGAAGAGATTATTCTGGAGCCTGGGCAAATGGCTAGACAGGAAGGTGAAAGAAAAACAGTCAATAGGTAATGCTTAGACAATCCTCTCAATCCAGGAATAAGACTAGGGTGGCCTTTCCAGAGGAGTTATGCCTTCTCTATCCTGTACTAGTGTCATCTTTTCACCAAATGTTACCACCAAAGAAAAAATAAATAAAAATCATAGGAGGTCAGTATTAGGATAGAGAAAGAATATAAAGCAAGCACTATGTCTTAGAACTATGCAGTTGAGGGTCTTCAAAGGCTCACAGGAGAAATCACTTCCTGGAATGCAACCATACTCCTTCTGACAGTACCATATTCCTTCTGACTGTACTATGAGATACACAGCAAGACCAAGAGAGAGGAGAGAGAGAGAGACAGAGACAGAGAGGCCTGAGATATACAGAACAAAAGAAAACTTTTATAGTAGTATGTAAGCTAGACCCTAAACTGACCATATCAAAAGCTAAAAGGTCAGGATCTAAAGACATTTCATCCTAATGAGGAAGACAGATGTTACATAAATACTCTTAGACTGCCAGTAGAAATGTAAAATCATACAGCTACTTTTGGAAAAAAAGTTGACAGTTCCTTGAATGTTGACACTAGTAACCATGATTTAGCTATTCCACTCCTACGTATTTACACAAGAATAACGAAAACATAAAAGCAAAAGCCATATTATTCACAAAAGTCAAAAGGCAAAAACAAACCAAATTCACTAACAAATGAATGGCTAAACAAAATGTATATCCATACAATGGAATTTTATGCAGCCATAAAAAGGAAAGAAGTGGGGCTCAGTGACAGAGAACTTGCATAGCATGTGTAAGGCCCCAGGTTCTATCTTTACTATCACTAAAAAAAAAAAAAAAAAAAAAAGAATGAAGTAAATAAAATAGCCTAGAGGAACCCTGAAAACATGATAATGAAAGAAACCAGCACAAAGGGTACATGTTACATTATTCTATTGACTCAATGTACATGAAATGTCCAGAATAGTGAAATCCAGAGACAGAAAATAGATTGGTAGGAGTAAAGGACCAATGAGGAGTGACTCCTAATGGTCAGGAATTTTTTTGGAATAATAAAAAATGTGTATGTTGAGACAGGTTGCACACTCCTTGTAAATGTACTATAAACACCATTTAATTGTATAAAAAGCTGTGGAACAGGCTACATTGAGAATTATAAATAATCTAGCTTCTTATTTATACATACTTAAGTTACACCTTATTAGAAGTGAAGTATAAATACATTCAATTGTCCTGTACAAATAATCATTCAGGAGGACTAAGCCAAACACTTAGGGACCACTGATCAGAGAAACATCCTACATTAAATATTGGGAAGACAGGATAATTAAGAGAAGGTCTCAAAGTTCAGAATTTAGAGAAGGCGGGAGGAGGAGAGATGGAGAGAGAGAAAGAGAGAAAGAGAGAGAGTCATATAAATAAGCAGTCAGTGAGTTATTTACAAAATATGCCAGGACCAGAAGGATTAATGACATTTTACCAGAAAAGGAGGTAAAGGGTGTTTCAGGAGGAAAACACAATGTTTTTCAATGGAGGTATGAATGATTATGGAATGTTCTGTTGAATAACTGAGATCTCTATGGTAAAGTGTAGAGTCCTGGTTCCTAGGGGTGCTTGGTTAAGCAGTGGATGAGACAAGACTGAAGGAAGACAGTGAGCCAGGTCGTGAGAGTAGATCATGGGTAGTGAATATGGGGACCAACTGACAGTTTGGAGGTACTAATGAACACAGTCATGTTGGCACTGTGCAGGAGAGACAGGCAGCTAGATTCTGATATCAAGGAGACCAACTAAAGCTTTCCGCAGTAATTCAATTGAGAAGTGATGAAGGGCTGGTAGAGTGGCTCAAGTGGTAGAGCGACTGCTTACCAAACGTAAGGCCCTGAGTTCAAGTCCCAGTATCGCAAAAAAAAAAAAAAAAAGAGAGAAGTGATGAAGCTTCAGCTAAGCTGTGGCAGAGTATATTAAGAGAAAACAGAGAGATGGGGAGAAATGACCCAAACATTGTATGCAAATATGAATTAAAAAAAAAAGAGAGAGAAGACAGATTGGATTGTGCACATCTTATGAAAGCAACAAGTCTACAAAGGAACATTAATGTATTTTATCTCATCTCTTTTGAGGTGGGCATCCTGCAAAACTTCTGAAAAAAACAAAAGTTGGATTTATCTTTGTTTCCTACAGTACTTACCAAGTACATGGCTAGTGGACATTCAATAAATATTTAGGGTATCAATATCTCTGGCATAACCACTAAAATAATTTATTATGATAATATCTAGGAACCCTGCCAGAAGAATGCATTAAGTGTTATACATATTTGGTGTTTCCTTAATACCTTAAAAATACATAAATATAGGAACTATGATACTAAGGTTCTCAAGAAACACAGCTTGGAAAATCAAAAGACTAACAAATCTCAACAATTGGTCAAGGCAAAGGCAAGTCTGAAGTAATAATTAGCTCATTCCATAACTATTTTATCAGGAGGCATTCTGTGCCAGACATGACGCTTGACACCAAGATAAACAAGATACTACCATTTCTCCTAAAGGAGTTAGGGATTAGTGGGACAGAAAGTTGGAACCCTCAATTAATGTAAAAAGTGGGCATCTTAAAT